CCGCTATAATAAAAAATACTAAACAACAGAATAAAAACATATGTAAGTGGGGCTCCCATACAACAGACTTTATGTCTTTGCCGTTTTTATGGATAACGGTACGGAACCATTCGTTCGCGGGTCGGAATCGCATTTGGTCGGTTTTTAATATCGCTTTGATGACGTCTTGAATGACGTCGATAATTCTTTCGTTATAATTATCGGTATAGTTAAATTTCGTTTATTTCAAATTAGGAACGTCTATAATTTGCACGCAAGTAGTGCGTTTACTATACAGCGTGTCGTTACCATGGCGACAATAAATGAACACACGTCTAACGCTACTTGCCAATAATCATAAAAAAATATAAACGTTAAACAAAATCCATAATTAAAAAAAAATATTTTTCAAACAAATTAATTAAGTAAAAAAAAAAACAAAATTTGTAACATCCTATACAACTCGCGCCACAGCGTCGCATTACAAGCCTCTCCTTCTAACAGTATGTTTTGTCTCTTTTAAATTCATTCAATCCATTCATATGCGTTGTGACCTTTACAAATGAACTTTACGTTATAATTTTATACGTAAGGATGTTCTAAAATTGTTTGTTTTGGAAAATTTAATAACTCGGTAAACATTGACGTTTAAAGAATGTAAATGTTTAATACAATTTTAGAAAGTTATCCTCTATATGTGTGTTAATTTATTGTCGCGGTGTTAACGACACGCTGTATAATTATAGGATAAATAGCAATACTATCCTATTTCATTTCATCGCTTTTTATTGAGTGTAAACGCGACTCCTTCTATCTCTCTACATCATACCTTCCTTCTCTCTCATATAAGGAAATTTGCCTAAACGAGATGTATCCTTGAAGTTTCACACTCGATTCTCGGTCAATTATCGAACCGCCACCGTCGTAGGAGATTCACTTTTTTTATGTGAGGAAGTGGCAAATGACCTAGCGGTTCACCTGAGGTTAAGTGATAACCGCCGCCCATAGGCATTAGCAACACCAGTCAGGTTGCAGATGCGTTGTCACCTTTAAATAATGTTCGCCCCGGCTACCTCACTCACCAGACGAAACGCAGAAGTGTAAAACCTACTTTACGCCGGTCTTCCATGAGGTCGTGGTACTTACCTGGACGGACCTGCCCATTCGTGCAACAGTGAACACTGTTGCGTGACAGCTGATTTATTGACTTCTACCATGATCAGTGTTTCAGAAACCTGGCGTAAATGTTAAGTGAAGCTTACTACAATGCATGAGTGAAAGGTGCACCCAAATCGGATCAGTCGTTACTGAGAATAGCGCGCACAAACGCACAGACAAACAGACAACGATCTGTTACATTTGTATTGTATGTATAGATTGAGCGTATTTAAGCATTGCAAATACCCTTGGATCGTATTCTATTCTCAAACTGAGTCCCAAATATGTTAAGACGTGACAATACGAGGTCGACGATTGCATTCGTGCGTTACTATATTAGGAAGCAACAATGTCGCTACCGCTGACTCACATTTACACAATCCTTAAGGAAAACAATACCAGTCCCAATACAAATGCGCTGACAGCTTTCGAACGACCTAAACAAATGAAATGCACTACTCGTTGGAATTACAAAACGGCACCCATGCGTGTGCCCTGAGGTACCCAACATATAACGATTACACGAATACCAACCTTAAAGCTGGTGTATTAATACCAAAAATCTAAAAGCACGGCACGGAGATCCTGCCGGCCTATAGAGAAGGCATCAAGGTCACCTCTTGCAATCGTTAAGCTAGGTTCTAAGAATAAGCGCGAAGCCGAATCGAAGAAAATGAAATTTGGAAAGCGTGACGCGCAAACACGGTTTCAATGTTGAAACTTTGTTACCTGTATCGAGAAAAGCGTTTCTTAAATTTAAACACGTAAATAAACGGATGGACACGTATTAGTCAGATTACAAACGCGCAAGTAGTATAGAACTACATATTACAATACAATGTCATGAAGCAAACACTTACAGAGATAAGTCATACGAACAGGACATGTGAACAGCTTTCTGTGTGTACCCACTACACAAAAAGCTTCGTATGTCCTGTAGGGAAAGGTGTTTTATCTTCCTGTGTACAGTGGAAATAATAGGTCATTCTAGCTGACCACAAAAAACGTGGAACCTGAACCATATATCGTAAAGCTCAGTCTCGTTGGAAGCAAAAATTACGAAGCACGGGCGAGTTTCCACCGGGCCGTTAAAATCTCAACAAATGGTCAATACCATCAGCAAAGTTTGTAAACAGCGGGGGGCCTTCACGGCGCGTTGAACCATTGTCTACGGTAGCCTTGATCTCATTTCGACGCTTCCGTTCCGAGAAAACATTTTGTTTTATACGATGGTAATTTTTTTGTTAAGTTTTTCTCCTTTCACTGGTAATATGGGCTGATTAAACGCCCTAATAATTTTGTTGCACAATTTACTCATCACAGTCTTCACACCTACATTCTGTACTTATGTTATCAATTACTTAAAATTCTGCTATGTCAATAAATGTAAATTTTTTTACTAAAAAAATAATCACGTACGCATTAATGTATCGTATTTAGAGTGTTAACTTTAGAAGGACATTTAATTTTTATTTAGTACTAGTGCATTATAACATCATCATTTTTGTCAGAGCTAGAACACCGTATATATAAGGAAATGTAATAAGCCAAATCCGATACCTATAGGATTTAATAACATTAGTTTTAAGGTAAAGAAAAAAGTAAAATAAAATAAGAATCTAAATATATTTCAACAATCATTTACTTAATATGTACACGGTGTGTGTTGTTTCAGTTTTTTTACAATAATAATTATTTTGTTCTCTACAATTACATGTAAATTAGGCGGCCTTTAAAATAAATATAATAATTGGATGAAGATGATATCTGAACGTGGAATTATTACATTAACATAAACAAAAACATGCATAAGAAGACACATTTTTTGACACAAAATACATTTTTTTTTCTTTTTGGTTTATAAGAGGATTAGATATTAGGGGCAATGAATCAAACAACCAAATCGCTAGCGGTTTTAAACAGAAAATCCCGCTTTAATTTAGTTTGATAAATCCGATATCGCAAGTGTTCATGGATGGCGGTGATCGAATACCATCAGGTGACCAGCTATCTCGTGTGCCTCGTTTTCCATTAAAAAAATATGCACCAACTCTGTCCACCACTAGAGCCTAAAAGCGTGGTCGTGACAACTTCCACTTCTGTTAACGGTTGGCGCAGCGATAACAGCAACATTAGACTGCTTTGTACAGTTAATTTTCCACTACTCAGTGCACCACTTTTCCACATGACGGACGGGTGACACAGTTTGTTTGACGGTAACACCATGTCTTTTTTTTCTTTATTTTCAAAAAAACTATAACGTTATCCTGTGTTGTAACGGCTTTTTACAAACATAAACTTCACGTTGAGAAACATCCAGATCACAATTATCTGTGAGTCACGCAGATAGTTATCCCATGTGGGAATCGAACCCACAGCTTCTGCACGAATGGGCAGGCTCGTCCAGAGAAGTACCACGGCCTCTTGCGTCCTTCGGCCTTCGCGTCTTGTGTGAGGCGCCCATTTTTTTAAGGTCATCAAAGCATCTACAAGCCTCAAGTCTAAGCCATTGACGGCGGTATTCACTATTCACTTAATCTTTGTCAGGTGAACCGCCGGCTCGCTTGACAAATTTTTCACATAATAAAACACGTTAAGTAACTCGAAATGCCCACTCTCTGATTATGGCCACTTGACACAGTACTTCGGGTCGAAACTCCACTGCCGTCGGGAGAAACGGAAACTGCACGATCACCCATGCAACGAGGAAGGTCAAGAACGGATATTAAAAATACATTTGGTTTTTTGCGTTCAACCTTGATGCCGGTGCGCCGTCGCAACCGAGAACCGTTCGTCTCGCCTGCGCAATACATGAATAACGGCACTTAATTTCGTTTCGTTCATAATTGTGAGATTCGATGCCGGTTCAGTCATGTGAGTGTCGAAGCAAACGTATCTCCTCTGCTACTAGTACATGTAGCTAACACTATCAATTCCCTGACGGACGGTCCAAAATATTTGATGGGAAAAATGTTAACTTCTAATCAAGATCAATGATTCCAGATCATTTTTCAGTTGTTTTCGAACACTGTAAAAATATATTGTGAACTGTTGTTGATTAAAATTTATTATAAACATAAATTTGATATCTTAATTTATTTTTATAGCAGACCAACAAAATAATTTTGTCCCACTACCGACTCGTTGGATCATCCGGTAGACCCACTGTTTAGATGACTTTGGTAACGTTATATCGAGGCCAATATTGCGTTGGTAAAAGATGCCTTGCGCGGGTTTAACAAGATTGAAAATTTAATGTAAATATGAGACAAGCGGGCAGGCGCAGATGCATTATGAGAACGGATCAAATTTCGGGATCGAGAAAAGGACTAAAACGTAATTTATTTTTTCCCCTATTAGTAACACGCGTGAATGTTATGCTATTCATGTTCAAATATGAAACGGTTAAGTAGATTATCCATCAAATGTCAAAGATCCAGTGTCCAGTGCCGGATTTAGGGGAGGGCAACCGAGACGACTGCCCCGGGGCCTCCACAATAAAGACTTTGGAAAAAACAAGATGGAAAATTTAATGTACATATGAGACCAAGCGGGCATTAAATTCAAAGAGTAAAAATTTCGGGATCTAGTAAACAACTTTAAAACGTCATATTTTTTTTTCACGTTTAACCTTCACCCACAGTACTTTGTACAAACATGATTACAAGAAATATTGACAGAAATCAATGAAAAATAATTTGAGGCCAAGGGGCCTCCACTCCTTTGTTGCCCCGAGGCCCCCAGACCTCTAAATCCGGCCCTGGTCAAAGCGATAAAAAGTTTGTCATCAGAATTGTTTTTAGTTTCGAAGGTGACCAGAAATCTATCAGATCTGAATACCGAATTGATGGTAAAGTTGATACCTTCTCCATCCAGTCATAGGTTTACTTCGAAGGTCCTCCTCGCTGAGCCCATAGAGGCCGATGCAGGCCAGGAACCAAGCGGTTACGATCAGGTAGCATATCACGATCACCCGGAACGGCAGCAGTATGACGGTAAATATGGCAGTCTGCGGACAACAATAAATAAATTTTGTAAATAAGTTTTTCTAGTAAACTTAAAACTTCCTAACCAAACGTACAGCAGTACCCAAGCTGCTGGGGAAAAAAAATTACCACTTGGTATATTTTGATCTTCCTAACCTAAAATACAGTGGCCATAATACTGGAGTAAGGAATTAAATTTTCATAGTTTAAAACTAAAAAAAAAACTGTGAACTTCACAACACAGCGATAAAGACACGTGCCTATGTCCTGTAGTTGTAGAAAAAAGTAGTCGATGCGTCTATAATGTCTTTACCTTATACATATATTTGTATTGCTGCGGTGATGATTCTGGCTATAACTATTCCAGGACACAGTTACACGTTCCAGAAAGGGCAAAGCGATATCTTTTTACAATTATTGTACATATTTAATGTAATTTATAATTTATCAATAATTTATTAGTACAGTTTGTTGTGATTTATTTAGTTTATTGCTTATTGTGAGTTATGGCTATAGCCTTAGCTATAGCTCGGCTGGAAAAACTAAGTACTATTGTTATACAATCATTGAGTTATAGGTATATGAATTGGTAAAAGGTGTGTTTTATAACTTTTGTCTATCAATTGACGTTTAAGCAAATACACACCATCATGGATGCTACTCAAGTCAAGCCCGTCAGAAGGTAAACAAGCAGTAACGGTCGTCTAACTTCTGAACGACTTGACACATTAAGGCCACATTGACACAGATTGATGTTTTTTTATCCTCATATTGAAAGAGAAAAACGAAAAAGTAAATACTATTCAATATGGATAACAATGAATTCGATTGACGCTGCAATAAAAACTTTATTAGCACGTTTTTGGGACAGCTCGACCTGAGGTCGTTGAAAACCTTGGCCCTTTACAACTTCAAGCTTTAACAATAACAGTACAAGAAATAAAACCGGCCAAGTGCGAGTCGGACTCGCGTACGAATCGTTCCGTACTATCTATAAAAACGGCAAAAGAATCATCTCTGTTGTATGGGAGCCCCGTAAATTTTTTACTTAGTTTTTTTAGTATTTGTTGTTATTGCGGCAACAGTGAAAATTTCTACTGTCTAACTATCACGGTTCATAAGATACAGCCTGGTGAACGGACAGACAGACAGCGGTGTCTTAGTAATAGGGTCCCGTTTTACCCTTTGGGTACGGAACCCTAAATATTAATTAGCGACTCAGCGTTCGATATTCCATCAACTTGATTTCACTGTAACGGTATTTTACACTTTGGCACGTTATGGTACATATATTGTTGGCAAAAATCGAATGCACTTGCAAATGACTGCGCCCTTATTTCTTATGCGCTGACAATTTTGCCGTGTCCGTTGAGCGTTATTATTCTCTCTTGGCAGCCTTTTTTTTAAATGGCTCATCAGATAACCGCCACACCTGAAGTGTTAATGGTTTGTGGCCAACTTCTATGTTGGCATACACCTGGTCTTTCTCAGTCAAAACAAAAAAGCATAACGTCTTCTTTCGTTGGACAAAGCCCAATCAAGCGGGTTAATCCTTATGTTAATCGAATAGTACAACCGGTCACATAATAGATTTCAAGGTAGTATTGATCAATCTACCAGCAAGAGTTCTTAATAATAGATAATATACTCTGGAGTAGCTTCCACTGTGATGATTAAACCTGCTTCGCTTGGGAAAATAATGAATTACAATGGATGAATGAATTTGAGGGAGGGGTAGAGAGCCTAGTTTCTTACAACACAGGTCGTCCTAGTCTGAGAGCTAGTATACTTTGTGTCATATATTTCAGGTGTGGCCAACTTTGGTGCACATAAGATCTACTTTTTATTTTAAAATTGTGTCGCGATCGACCTATTTTTAAGGTAAGAAGGGGATGTTTTTGCAATGTGCTTTTATACCGACGTGCACTTTGGCGAGCTCCATGATTAAGGGGTAAATAATCTACATACATGAGTATTTATTTAATGGGTTAAAAAACTTATGTCCAGAGGAATTAAAACAACATGAGCACTTATTAATAACATTTATTCATTCAAACTTTTTAAATTAATGAGAAACCTGAGTCTGCATTTCCTTTACTAGTGCATCATAATTTGGAGTATATCCTGACAAAGACAATAACAATGAGTCCTCAATATGAGAATCGGTCAGGACGGAAGTTTTAGTCAATTGTAAATATGAAAATGCCGATTCGCACAGATACGTAGATCCAAAGCAAGAACAAATATATTCGCTACATTTGATAATATTGGGATACTTTTCTCGGTTAACATATTTCCAAAAATCTTCTTCAAATTTTCTGGCTTGTAAGATTAAATCAGATTGTAAAATTATAATTTCATTTTCCAAGGCGTTTTGCTCCATATCAAATAAGTCTGCAATTTTTTTGCTAATTTCATTCACAATTAAATTTTTTTAAAAGGAAAAGATGTAAATTCCACGATTTCTTTAAATTTTTTAAAATCTTGGAATCGCTTCTCAAAATCTTCCATTACATTTTGTATTTCGGCCACGTACTTGTCAATCTCATAAATAATATTTTTATTTTTTTGTAAGTTGTCTGCCATATTTGGAAAATGGTTCATATTATTTTGTTGTAAATCTTCTATCAACAAAATAAATTTGATTTAATTAAATCTTTAATAATAATTTAATCAATTATTTAGATTCCTCCGGGTTTAAATTCACGTTTACGAACGTAAGCTGTTTGACTTTAATCGTCGAAAGTCTTGTTCGACGATCGTTATACCTATACATAACTAAAGCTATTACCAGTGATACCAAATGTGCAAAAAGAATACTTCTAAATAAACTCGAAAACCCACTAAAATTGACTAAATTCAAAAAAACTTACTGAATCACGATTTTTTTATACTATTAAGGTAAAATTAAAACATTACCTGATAAAATTAAAAATTTCATTAAAAATAGAAATTGAAGTAATATAAAAATGATTTATTTTAACATCTTATATATCGCTTAATAATTGACTTTAACATTTTTTTTAAAAACACGCAATCATGAGTGACAATATCTTTATAATTTGTGTAAGAAATAATACATTCAGTATTATAACTTAGGGCGGAAGAATTTAAAATATACACACAAAGCACATAAGCCTTGGTCTGATTTCCACCCAAGCAGCACAGCACTATTAAATTTAATTTTTCTTTTTGTGTACTTTTATTTTTTTCCAAAAATATGAATAAAATTTAACTAATAAAAATATTCACAAAAAATTTACCTCCTAAAAAATTTCCATTTATATTTTTCTTCCTTAATATAATATTAAGTATATTCCTTAATATAATATTAATAATAATTTAGGCAGAAAATTCTTAAGTAGTAAGTTACGTACGTTAACTATTACGTGCTTGGTACCAATGCAATCCAGCTCAAGACTAAACAAAATTTAAAGACATCGTTAATACCGTAATTCGTATTTAAATGCAACAGAGATTTTTTTCCATGCTGTTAAGATTCAAAATTACTTAACTGCGCGCTTTGTCGCCCGTTACGGCTCAAGGCTAAACAAAACAATAGAAATATAATAATATCGTTGTAGTAATCTTTGATACCATGATTAGTATTTAATTAAAACGGATCTTATTTGCATGGTGTTAAGATTCAAAATTACTTAACTTATTCATAATATCTGTTTAAAAATCTGATATTGTGCCTTGCTTGCCGTACTGCTCTAACTAGTGTAATATTTGTATCTCACGCGCTTTGTCGCTCAAAATCTGTTTAAAAATCTGATATCGTGCATTGCTTGCCGTCCCGCTCTAACTAGTGAGTATTTATATCTCACGCGCTTTGTCGCTCGATATCTGATATCGTGCATTGCTTGCCGTCCCGCTCTAACTAGTGAGTATTTATATCTCACGCGCTTTGTCGCTCGAAATCTGTTTAAAAATTAGATATTGTGGGAAACGCGTATGATATCGCGATTCGTGTCGGTATAGCGAGCGAGCACGGTACATCAGATTTCGGAAATATCAGATATTGTAAAATACATAGATATTGAACGAGCCAGTAAGCGATATTCAGATATTGTACTAATATTTAGTTTTCATATCTGATACGATTTATATCGCCCACTTCTAATGAGATACTTTTCGCAAACCCCGAACTTGCGAGTGATCGACCAAAATTGGTCTCGCGATCGACTTGTTGGCCACCCCTGATATATTTACTGAATAAATACATATTACTGTGCTGTTGATGTCGCGAAGTATTACGCTTTAATCATAGATTACTATACCCTAATGATCGACCGTCGTGGTAAACGTAAAAGCAGTTTCTTCTTGAGTACAGACGATGTAGGCGGAGAGTTTTGCGCGTTTGCTTCGGATGAGCTCATTTAGTCCCGACACGTGACAAGTTACAAAACTGTCGCGGCCCACCTTACACCATACTTTACCTTACAACGCGCAATGGTAATTGAACATAAAATACAATTATGTCCTTTTGTAGGCACCTAAGAAGTGATACGTCTAACGGTGGTAGGGCCACGCAGCAGCCTCGGCCGTTGCACGAATGGGCAGGCTCGTGCGGGTAAGTACCACGACCTCATAGAAGACCGGCGTAAAGTGGAAGTATAATACTTTCGCGTTTCGTCGGGAGAGTGAGGTGGCCGGAGCCCGATTTCCAAAAGGTTGTCAACATATCTGGAACCCTCGAGTGTAGCAGATGTCCATGGGCGGCGGTATTTACTTAAAATCAGGTGAACCGTCTGCTCGTTTGGCAATTTTTCACATAAAAAAAAAATACTTCTTTAGCGAAATAAAATAAAAATAACTAAAAATGTTATCCACTACGGCAGTACTCTTTTTTTTGTGAAAAACACATTAAACGCAATTGATAACGGTTTATTTTAATAACTTTGAATTATAGGTTAATTTAAATAAGCTGTTATTGGTTGCCATGGCAATAGCGCGAAGTTGCTCGTTTTGCAACCAACTTTATTATGTCGCTTTTGGCTGTCAACGTAAAAATTTTGCT